ATGTTATTAATTAATCCTGGATCCACCGAGTGGTGTCATTTTGTTTTTTTTTATCCAACACCAGAGACTTTTATGTAACCTTCCTTATGTGTCCTTCTTTTATTCTAACACACAACATGAGCTGCAAAACTGCCATTCTCTAGCATTTCCTCAATCCCTGGAGATTTGGTTTCTCAGCAATTGTCCTCAGTTTGGCTCAGACAAACTCATCAAAATTCTCTACAGGTTTGCACGTTTTTCTTACCAAGACAATTATCAACAACCTTTTCTGATCAGATGGCCAGAATAAAAAATATGGAGTGGGGGGTGCGGTGGGGGAGAGCAAGTAGGAGTATGTAATCATTTATTTTTAAGAATTAGCCTGATTTTGCCATAACCGGTTTGGCTCAATAGATAGAGCGTAGGCCTGCGGACTGAAAAGTCCCTGGTTCGATTCCGGTCAAGGGCATGTACCTTGGTTTCGGGCACATCCCCAGTAGGGGGTGTGCAAGAGACGGCTGATAGATGTTTCTAACTCTCTATCCCTCTCTCTTCCTCTCTGTGAAAAGAAAAGACAAGACAAGACAAGAAAGGAAAAGGAAAAGAAAGGAAAGGAAAGGAAAGGAAAGGAAAGGAAAGGAAAGGAAAGAAAAGGAAAAGAAAGAAAAGGAAAGGAAAGGAAAGAAAAGAAAAGAAAAGAAAAGAAAAGAAAAGAAAAGAAAAGAAAAGGAAAGAAAAGAAAAGAGAAAAAAATGAGCCTAATTTTGATTTACAACAAAAAAGTCCCAGGTCTTAGGAGCCAGGCACACTTGTCAGTTTCACAGGCTGGTTGTCCTCTTCCAAGTCCCCTTCCCTCCCTCTCTCCCTCCCTCCCTCTCTCTCCTCCTCCCTTCTCACCTCCCTCACCCGCCCAGCCCGCCTCCCCTCCTTCCCGGGGCAGCCACTGGCCCGCAGGCTCCCGGCGCCCTGGGTCACCGCGTCCACTTCCGCCCGGGAGAAGGCGCCTCCCACTCCGCTGCCCTGACCGTGGCTCCGGGCTCCGCGGGCTCCGGGCTCGCCTCCTGCGCGCGGGTAGACGGTTTGCAGACGGCGATCAGGTACGTGCGCTCCCCGATCGCAGAAACGCGCCCCGATTTGGGCTCCACCCACCCCACGGGGGGTTCGCACCCGGTAACGGAGGTCTTGGCCGTGCGCACAGGTAATGCGCCTGGCCAAGCCCGTTTTCAAAAGCGGACTCACGTCGGAGCAGTACCTGGTGACCCAGAAAAGCCACCCTCCCATCCCACCTGCGCATAACTGCCTGTATTGTTTAGCCAACCAGTTGGAAAATAGTTGAAATCGTAGGAAAGTGTATAAACGAGTGCTCGTTTTACCCCCAAAGGCTGACCAGAAGCCTTTCCTTGGTGCCACTAGATACTCTGTAACGATTTTCCCCACAGTGGAACAATTTGGTTGTATAGTTTTTACTATCGATACTATTGTACTATGGGGGAATATGAGGGTGGGGGATGAGCAGATTGGCATCAGGATCATTGCCCACGGCTGGCGGTATGTTTTAAGGGAGGAGGTGCTGGGTCTGCGAGTGGGGCACGCAGGCTGCAGGGTACGTGCTGCCAGGAAGGAGGGCACAGGCCACACCCACAGCCCAGGGAGGGCCGGGGGCAGGAGTGTCGCCTTGCCCAGGCCTTGCCAGCAGTGGCTCCTGCCACTTAGGTTTCTTTGCTGGTGGAAAATCAGCAAAGAAACTTAAATGGCAGGAACCGCTGTTGCCTCCAAAAGACCATTTATAATGAGGTGGTCAGAGGGAGCCCTGGAGTATCCGGGGAAACCTTATCTCGGTCTGAAAGCGCCCAAGGAAAGGTCAAAGGCTCTCCACTTGGCCGCTGTGTGAGCGCGCACCCATGGAAAACGCTAGCAGGACTGCTGTCCGGCAATCCTCGGGGGAGATGGCATTCACAGGCTCATCCAAGGAGGAACAGGGCCCTGCCTCCCCCTGCAAGACGGAAAATCGGTTCCAGGCACGTTCCCACACTGTTTACCCAGTAAGAGGAAAAGCGCCCAGCCAGCCTTCCCCGGAGCCACCGCCCTCCCCATATTATCTTTCAGCCTCGCTTTTGCGGGGCTAGCAGATGGTTTCTATTTCTAAATCTCCGAAGCTTCCAGAAATGTATTCCTAGGCTAATTTGCATGTTACAACCCCATCTCCGCCAATCTCCTTCGCTCATCCAAACCGTTTCCTACATCTCTGGTGGAGATCTTCACTGCGTTGGAAGTATGACTTCCGAGTTATTTAGATCCTGGGGGGTGTGAAAGCAGGAAAACCGCACTTGTTCACCACACGTTAGAGCCATTTCTCACCTTTCTGTCTTCCGGGGAGAAAAGGGGAATGTTGTTCAATTATACTGGAAGAAAACGGTAAAGGTAAAAATTATGAACAACAGATACATATCGATCAACAAGTGAATCTAAAAATCAAGTGAATAAAAAATCTGATGAACAGAATAAACTGGTGAATATAATAGAATAAGAGGCATAGAAAGGGAGTGGACTGACAATTCTTGGGGGAGAAAAAGGTGTTGGGGACGCGGAAAGAGACTGGACAAAAATCGTACACCTATGGATGAGGACAGAGGGGGTCTAAGAGTAAAGAGGGGATGGGAACCGGGTGGAGGGGAACTATGGGGCGGGGGGAAGAGGAACAAGTGTAATAATCTGAACAATATATACTTAAAAAAAAAAAGAAGATAATTTTCCATGAAAGGTAAAGTCATGACTCTTCTACAGATATAAAAATGAGCACATGTTAAAGGTTCTGTATTATTTACTAAAGAGGGAACCAGAAAGATATTATGACTGGTTACAAAAAGAAGTCAAGCTCGCTGGCATGGCTCAATGGTTGAGCGTCCACCTATGAACCAGGAGGTCCCTGTTCCATTCCCAGTCAGGGCACATGCCCGGGTTGCTGGCTCCATCCCTAGGGTGGCGCATACAAGAGGCAGCGAGGCAGCCAATTAATGAGTCTCTCTCATTGTTGTTTCTATCTCTCCCCCTCTCTCTTCCTCTCTGAGATCAATTAAAAAATATCTATCTATCTATCTATATCTATATATAGATAGATAGATAGATAGATAGTCAAGAAGGACAGATTTACATGGAGTAGAGGACTGCGTCAGGAAGAGGAGAGGAGAGATTTGCAGACCCAGTGCACACCCGTGCTCTCCATGGGCTTGCAATTTTGTGGAGGCGCATGCTGTGTGAGGCGGGGCTGGAGGCTGTGCAGGAGAAGGTTACTCATTCATCGCACTTGTTCAAGAACAGGGCAGACCCCATTCAGGGCCACCTCGACAGGTGTACGGACCAGTGCAATGGGATTTGGCAGCAGGAGAGAGATTGGGCCCCCCTCTGAATCCAACAAGGAAAAGTGGGGATTTTTTTTTTAATTTTTAAAATATCAATATATTTTATTGATTTTTTACAGAGAGGAAAGGAGAGAGCTAGAAACGTCGATGAGAGAAACATCGACCAGCTGCCTCTTGCACACCCCCTACGGGGGATGTGCCCACAACCAACCCCTGACCGGAATCGAACCCGAGACCTTTCAGTCCGCAGACCAACGCTCTACCACTGAGCCAAACCGGTTTCGGCTGAAAAGTGGGGATTTTTAGTCAAGGATCTGAGTAAGGGGGTCAGTGGATAAAAAATTACTAACGAAGCATGAGCGTTTGGGGAATCCTGCTCACTGACTTGGCAGAATTTGGGCAGAAGACAAGGCCAAGGGCTTGAGACATCACCTGCAGGATGGCAGAGGGTCCGGGTCAGGATCAGATGTGGAGGGTGGGGGATTCTAACAAACTGACTTAGCAGGATTCTTACTGAAGCTGAGCAATGCAGAGATGAACTCGGAAGCCCAAAAGTCAGGGCCTAATGGAGAACAGGGTTCAGAGGAGTTTGGTCAAGGAGAGAAATCTTTGTCCAGGGACCCTCAGTGTGTAGGGGCGTGGGCTTGGCAGCCATTCACACAGGTGACAGGTGTGGCATCTTGCATGAACGTTGTGGGGGGAACACGGGCGTTAGTGGTGAGATTAGTGTGGCATTGCCAATGAGCGTGCCCATTCGAGTGTCCTCTGCAGGAGCACGTGTTGGCCAGCCCTGATGCCATAAAGAGGCGCCGGCTTCTAGCGGCTTCACCAATGGGGACAAGGAGCTGGTCTCAGGGTGGCAGGATGTGTTGCCATGCCCAGCTGCCATGATACAGAAAAGCCTTTCTAGACACACATTTTCTGAGGACCCCATCACACATGTCAGACGCACAGCCCATCCTTTCTAGAAGGAAACTGAAGCCTTCCCACTCACAGTGAATGACTCTATAAGGTCATATAGAAAAAACTGTCAATGGAAAAGTACTCACTGTCCACAGCACACCCTTCTAGACTATCTGATTCTAGCCCTGTTCACTGTGTTTGAACGAGATTGCTATTCTTTGAAAGTCCTGGGTAACTGATAGATTTGTAAATTCGGTCCTATCTGGTAGAGATTTTATTGGTTTCTTCCCCTCCAGTGGAAAATCCGTTTCGTCTCCACTTGCAATTCATCTCAATCTTCCTTTACGACATAAAATTTTGTGTTATTTTCTTTTTGTCCTTTGAACCAGTTATATAACATCTGTCTCATTCCTCCTATCTTATGTGTAAAATAAAATCTTTAATATATTCATTTTATATCTATGGTTTTATTTTTATTTTATTTTATTTTTTTAGAAAAAAATTACCTTTTCATAAATGTGTCTTTTAGGGGGGAAAAAAAACCCATAATCCTGAAAGGTATATGCACATAGAAAATTTCTTTAGAGTACAGTCAGTAGCTAGTCAAGGGTATGTTCCCTGAGGCTCTCACACCACGAGGGGGTACAGTCTGTAGAAACTGCTCTGCCCCGTGACCTTGGCGTCACACAGGCTGCTGTGCCACGTGAAGGGTCTGGCAGGAGCCCAGACTTCCACACACAGTACACGCAGTCCTGTCCTGGCACCTCCCCTTTCTGCAGAAGAACCTTGCAGGATCAGTCCAGAGAGTGGGTCTCCTGGCTGTAAACACTTCTTATGGAGAGTGGATATCAACTGAAAATAAAGTTAAAAGATTCAGATTCGAGGCTAATTTGGAACGACCAGGATTTTCTGTGGTCCCCTCGCCCTCAGGACAGCCCAGGTAAGAAACTAGCCCAAGGAATCCACTCGCAACAACAGTGCAGCGGCCATAAAATGCACTGCTACTGCTACTGGGTTGTTCTGACTTCTCTCACTAATCATAGTTTTATGATGTAGCTTATGAACAAAAAGCCATACAAAATAGAATCAAATTTCCTGTGATCAAATGGCTACTCTTAATTTCTCTCTTTAAAATTATCTTATTTCTAGTTATGAACATGTAGAATGTCCTGCAAAGTACATGATATAGCATAGCTGCACCCATATTCACATGACCCAGATTTTAAAAAAAACATTATCTTTTTTCTTATGTACTTCAAATCAAAACTTTTTAAGGAAATAAAATATAACAAATACAATTAAAGACAATAATCTTCTTCCCCCGCCAATAACCATTCTCTAATTCTCTTGAGTTATACGTTAAGACCTTATACTTATTAATAATATATGTATTACTTTGAGGTTTTAGTATTTATTTAGCATTAAAAAAGCTATCATTATTATAGCATTATGTTTTGAGATTTATTATATTGACATATATAGTTTGTTCATTGAACTGCTTTGAATATTCCTTTTATGAGTTTTTTGTGCCCTAGAGTTGCCATAAACTGGGTGACTTAAGACAACAGAAATTATTCTCTCAAAAAATTTATTCTGTTGTGGAGTCCTGAAGTCCTAAATGATGGTGTTGGTAGGACCATGCTCTTCTTCAGACCTTTAAAGGAGAATACCTCCTTGCCTCTCTCCCAGTTTCTGGGGCTGAGTGGTTATCCTAGGGTCCTTGGTTTGCAGATGCATCACTCCTCTGCTGTGTGTCTGTCTCTACACCCACATTTCCCTCTTCTGGTAAGGACAGCAGTCATTAATCAGATGAGCATCACCCTCCCCAGGACGACCTCATCTTAACTTGATTACCCTCTGTGAAACCCTACAAATGAATAAGGCCCCATTCACAGGTTCTGGTGGTAGGACTTGACCTATCTTTTTGGGGGGACAGAATTCAAACCACAACAATGAATGAATCACAGTTTATCCCATTCTTCTCCTGATGGTCAATTAGTTGCTTCCAATTTTTGCCATCCTATCTATGCTACCAAGAATGTACTTCGTACCACCCACTGCATGCATGCATGGACACACACACACACACACACACACACACACGAATTTCTTTAGAGAATATATGGAGTGATGGGATTTCTGGGTTGTAGGGTGTCTTCATCATTGCTAGACCTTGACATACATATTTTTAGAGTTTGTATCAGCTTATATTTCATGGACACCATCTCCTAGTGTTATCAATATGTCATTGATATTCTTTGTATAATTTTTTTATATACTAGTGACCTTAATAATCTTTTCATATCATTCAGGTGTTCCCTCTTGTGAATGGCCCACTCATTATCTTTAGAGCATTTTTCTGTTGATGTTGTCTTTTTCTTCTTGATTTATAAAAATTCTTCATATATTTTATCTAGACACAAAATCTGCTTTAAGAATGGTATATTCTCTTAGTTCATACTTTGTCTTCTTGCTTTGTTTATCTTATAGTTTTTTAAATTTTAATAAAAATTAAACATTTTTTTGTTGTTGAAAATATTAAGCATATATCAAAGTAGAGCCTGGCTGATGTGGCTCAGCAGTTGAGTGTTGACCCAGGAACCAAGAGGTCACCAGTTCGATTCCTGGTCAGGGCATGTGTCTGGGTTGTGGGATTGATCCCCAATGGGGGCCATGCAGGAGGCAGATGATAGATGATTTCCTCTCTTATCAATGTTTCTATCTCTCTATCCCTCTCCCTTCCTCTCTCTCTAATATTCAATTAAAAATATATATAAAAATAAAAGTAGACAGACTAGTACAAAGGATGCTCCTAAACTCACCACACAGTTCCAACACTGTGACACAGGACACCCACTGCCACTGCCACTGCCACTACCGAGAATCAATTTCAGCATGTAATAGTTACACAAGTTTCACCAAAAGGTTGGAGAAGCTTGGGGAGCTCAACAGGGTTAAGTCAAATGTAGTTTTCCAGTTGCAAATGGCTAAAATGCACATCCCCCAAACCTGAATAGGATGATTGCCAGCTGCCAGACAGCTCAGGGCATTTTATTGCCTCCTGTTGGCCAAACACCTGAACAGCTGTAGGCTATTCCTCAAACTGATAATGCTTCTGTAAATCCTTTGATACTTTACCCTTTGAAGTGTATATTTCCACCTTGCCTTAGGTCACGTTGTGTAGAATAAAGCATGGGTCATTGGTCAAGGAAGAGTCTACAGTTCCCTTCAGCTGAAGCTCCTCTGACCCCCAATGGCTTTCAAAAATATCTTTTGTCTTGGACTTCTTAATCATCTACACTCAGCCCCTTTCTCCAGAATGCTGAACCCTTTGTAAGGCTGGGAAAAGAACCCCAGCGTTATGGCACCCTGAACAGGAGACACCAACATGCCAGACCCTGGTCATTGTATCTGTAGAGACATCTTCGGGATCAGTGCTTTTATGGTCTCTTTTCTATGGTACCTCAACACTTAAAACTTCATTTTGAGAATCTGTCTCATAATGAATTTATTCTATTTCTATTTATGCAGATCTATTTCAATTACATACTTTCTCCCATTGCAGATGATAGGTTTAGTTTTTCTTTCGTCCCCTTTCCTGCTTTCGGTTTGTTTGGTAAAGCTTGCTAGGTAGGTCCTGTCCTCATTTCTCCCCACGCTGTCACCATAATCTCTCCTGATTATTGTTTATTTGGAGCGCTTCCTTCCATTTGGCACTTTATAGTGAGTTCCTTTTCCATGGGTAGCATTTTCCGCCTGGATTGTGAATGTCTGACTATAAAGTAGATTTGCTTTTGCTTCTGCCAGGTGCCCAGGGCCAGTTATGTTCATTTCTCAGCCAGGTTTTCCTACTTGAAACTAAGGATCTTGTAAATTGGGGTGATGGTTTCTTTTTATAACCTCCTAGGCTTCTTTACATATTCCTAGTCCCCGTCCACAGTTTTTCTTTGCTGTTGTTTCTTATGTATCACACTAACTCAGAATCCTTGAGGGTGGTCTCAGCTACAAATCCCAATTCATGGGTTCCCAAGGCCTGACTGGATAGAGAATCCAGGCTAGGTTAGGTTGGTCCCGGGTCTGGCCTGTCTCCAGCCTGGCTGGGCTCTCGGCAGCATCTGATCCCCCTACCCTCACCCTGGTTTTGGCTTCCTCTCCAGTTCCAGCCCTGGTGCTGTTCCCTTCTTCCCATGAGCTCCACCACGTTGTGTTTTTATTTGCTGGTTACACTCACTCTGGTATTTTCAGTGTTTGCAATGTGAATGGAGTCTTATTATCTCCAACCTGTGGTGTTGCCAGAACCAGCAGCCAATATTGTTTGTTCGTTTTTCTTCCAGAAAACAGATATTAAAGGTGTTCCTAATAGATATTACACATATTGAAGGTATATGAGAACATATTAAGTTAATATAAAATTGTCCCCTATGATGTCTTAGATGGACTGAATACCAGCACTGATTTCTTGCATGAGTACACTAGGAGTAGAGTCAATCTTGATTTTGGTTTATTTACTGTTCAAAATCTTCAGGTTTTCCCCATTCGGAATATAAAGCGTGTTTCTCTCTCCCTGTAGCCCGACTTCAATATCTCCAATGGCTAACGAAGCTCATCCTTGTCCCTGTGACATTGGCCATAAGATGGAGTATGGAGGGATGGGGCGTGAAGTTCAAGTTGAACATATCAAGGCTTACGTCACCAGATGCCCCGTTGATGCTGGCAAAGCTGTGATTGTCATTCAAGATATATTCGGTTGGGAGATGCCCAATACCAGATACATGGCTGACATGATCTCAGGAAATGGATACACGTGCGTATAAAATCCCATTTTTCTTTGATAAAATCCATGGAAATTTCTGTGATGTATATTGTGTTCCCTTTAGGGAAAACAAAAGCAACCCCAAAAACCCTGACTGTATTCTTTTTTCTTCTTGTAAATAACTATTTTTATTGCTGACACTATTACAGATGTCCCCCTTTCCCCTTCTTTTGCCCACCTCCACCCAGCTCCTTGCCCCCCCCTTCCTCCTGGCCATCACCACTCTATTGCCTGTGTCCACAGGTTATGCATTTGTGTTCTTTGGCTAATTTCCTCACCTTCTCTTGTCTAGTCCCTAATCTACATTATCTACTTCCTTATCTCTCTGGAAAATGTAATATGAAACTTAAAACACCCACCTGCTGCCAAGACCGGTTTGGCTCAGTGGATAGAACGTCGGCCTGCAGACTGAAAGGTCCCAGGTTCCATTCCGGTCAAGGGCATGTACCTTGATTGAGGGCATATCCCCTGTAGGGGTTGTGCAAGAGGCAAATGATTGATGTTTCTTTCTCATCAATGGATAGATGTCAATGTTTCTAATTCTCTATCCCTCTCTCTTCCTCTCTGTAAAAAAATCAATAAAATATATATTTAAAAAACAAACAAAAAAACACCCACCTGCTGTTCACCAGAAGCCACCAAGTTCCCGGGCTTCAGGTCTTCCTGGGGATGCCCTCAGTGTGGGGCCCCGTGGGACACAGCCACAGGACTTGTCCCTGGGCAGACCTGGCCAGCTCTGAGATGACCCATTAATTGGCCCTAGGAGCATGTCAGCCTCCAGCTATCACGGCCCGACTGGGTTCCGGAACTGGCCCAGTGAGACCTCACTGTCTCCCAAAGGTTCTGCCTTTGTCCAGTTGCCTGGTGAATGCTGCTACCTGTTTGCTCATCAACGGCCCCGGCATTGGTAACAGCTACAGGGAGTTGCATGCAGGAGGGGAGGAACCACTCCTTCCTCTCGGCTTCAGAAAGCTGGACCCAGCAAGCCCTCAGTGTGGAGCCCCGATTGCCTTTGTTTTCTCCCCAAAGAGAAGCTGGAAAGCCAAGGGTGCACGCTCCTGGCTCTCCTCCGAAAAGAACTGATCTAAAGGAAGCAGGCAAATTTAGTGTTGACTCAATAGGGGATTCACTCGATTTTTCACTTTTTAATATCCTCCAGTTTATTTTCAAGATGAGGCAATTTAACATCCCAGCGGCAAGCCCAGTAATAAAACAAAGGACAGCCGGTCCTGATTGCCTCTGGCTCAGCCAGGCCCTGTGTTCAGGCTTTGAAGGGCTTTTGTCCTCCCAGCAACCCCTCCTGGGAGGCTCCTTCATTGTTCTCATTTGGAGAGGGGAAAGCAGGGCAAGAAGACAGGTGCCTCAGGTCACCCTGCCCCAGGAGCTGATCGGATCCTGTTGTTTCAGGTGGCTGCTTAGGTTGGCGATCTAGAGTCCAGATGCCTGTGATTTACAGAGCCTTTTCACACGTCCAACTCATTTTCCCTCACAGTAACCCTCTGAGGCTGGGCGGGGCTGGGAGCAGTCTGTTTCTCATATGGAGAACATGGGGCTGCATGTTGTTAGATGATTGAAGAATACAGGGCAGACGATGCAGTACTGGAACTGGAATTTACCTTTCTTTTTTAATATATTTTATTGATTTTTTTTTTTTTTTTCAGAGAGGAAGGGAGAGGGATAGAGATTAGAAACATTGATGAGAGGAACATTGATTAGCTGCCTTAACATCCCAGCGGCAAGCCCATCTGGGGATGTGCCCGCAACATCCCTACTGGGGATGTGCCTGCAACCAAGGTACATGCCCTTGACCAGAATCGAACCTGGGACCCTTCAGTCCACAGGCTGACGCTCTATCCACTGAGCCAAAGCGGTTGGGGCTGGAATTTACCTTCTTCTGACTCAAATGTCAGTGTCCTTTCCCCCCTGAAGGAGGCGCTGTGGGCCCCCATCCGTGGCAACGGCCCTTTGTGTTGGAAACTGGTCTCTGGGTGGGTCAGTGTTGGTCTCACCCTCCTGGGTGGATTTGTGGGGAAGACAGTGAAAGGGAATGGACGATTACATGGAGGTGAGAGAAGCAAGGTGGGGATTGAATTACAGGAGAGTTAACAAGAGGATGTGCTCTTTTGAGGGTGGTTATGCTTATGTCAAAGATGTGTTAACTTAGATGCCCAGAAACAATGGACAGGGCTTGCTTAAAGCAAAGAAAAACCTGTTACTAAAAAAGTATGTGCCTGGGACATGACTGCCCACCACCAGCTGCCCCGTTAAGGAATTTATGATCAGATGACCCTGTGAGGTTACTTTCCATAGAACCCCCTTTCTCACCCACAAAATCCAATTTGTTTTTCACTTGCTCATCTGTCTCATGTCAATATAAAGAACCTAGAAGGGAAGGAGGGAAATTTTTTCCCTCCCCTACAATCGACATGGACTCGAGCAAGCTGGCCCTTTTTATCCATAGAACCCTCATTAGACTTATACCATCCGATAGGAAACTGTGCCCTGCTGGCATGCTGGGCGGCGCTGGGGAAAATTGCTTGGTTATAGTGCCTGGACGGGCTAACCAGGTGTGCCCTTCTGACCTGAGGCTAATGGGAAAGGCCAGCTGAGAGGTTTGGGGACAGAGAGGCTCACCTTGCTGCAGGCCCTTGCTGGTGGGTCCCCTTGTCCTGTGCAGTGATATCTCCTGGGGTGTGTGCACAGCCGAGTCTCCTGGTCACTTTAGATGGGCTGGGCTACAGACAAGCTACCAGAGGCCCTGCACCTTCTGTTGTGAAATCCGAGAAGGTTTGGCCTAGTGCCCATTGGCCTCTTTGCTGTGATCAAAGTTGGCCCTGGTGGCCATGACTTCTCTTTTCCTGAGTGAGAATAGCCGACATAGCACATTTTTTTTAATGAATGTAGGCAAACACGGAGTCCCAATAGCAACAGAAACTAAGACCGGTTACTGTCCCTCATTTACAGAACCATCGTTCCAGACTTCTTTGTCGGGCAGGAGCCATGGGACCCCTCTGGGGACTGGTCCACTTTTCCAGAGTGGTTGAAAACAAGGAATGCCAGGAAGATCGACAAGTAAGTAATTGGCGGGCGTGGCTGTGTTGGTGGGGTCCCCCAGGGAACCCAAGAGAGCAGTCTTGAGAGAGAGGTGTCTGGCTTCACGGTCCAGACACCTCCCCTCCCTCTGAGTAGGACTTGGATGGCCAGGAACCTCGAATTAAGTACATTGCTTCTAGCTGAGAACGTCTTCTGAGTTGTTCCAAATAACCAATTAGCAAATGAACTGTTTGCAAAGCCAGGGCTACTGCCCTTAGGCCCCTCCTGGCTTACATAGTCCTGGTGGCTTTCCAAATCTCTCTCCACTCTTTGGACACAGGAGGAGAGGCGATGCAAAGTGGGAGAGACAATGTGCCAAGTCAGAGAGTTTGGGGAGCTGCCCAGTTGTGACTGGGGCCTGTTGGAGAGAGGAGCCTGGGGTGCTGGGCAGGGACAGATCTTGGGGTCAGGTCTTAGCGCCATGCTGTGGCCTTTGGCCTTTACGCTGAGGCTGGGGAAGGCTGCCGCTCAGCTTTCAGCTGGGCAGTGAGCTGGTGGGATTTGCTGGTCTTTTGGAAAGAGCCCGCCTGCAGCCCTGTCAGGTGGTTGGAGGAACTGGGCTTGGCAGAGAGACTTGCCAGGAGAGGCATCCCTCAGCACTGGGCAGGAGGTGGTGAGGAGGCAGCTCAGAAAGTAAGAATCTCAGAACCTCAAGGAAGAGCTGCAGATAAGCTCCTGCTACGTGCCCAGTGCCCTTCCCAGGGCCTCACAAAATACCTCTTGATTTACGAATAACTTTTCTTTCTGCTCTAGAGAGGTGGATGCAGTCTTGAGGTATCTGAAACAACAGTGTCACGCCCAGAAAATTGGCGTGGTGGGATTCTGCTGGGGAGGAGTCGCTGTCCATCACGTGATGATGACATACCCAGAATTGAGGGCAGGGGTGTCCGTGTATGGTAAGTCTGCCTTGTACAGGTTTACACAGTGAACACAGGAAGGTTCGTGGGTGACCGTGCCATGAGCCTCTTCCCAAGCTAAGGGTCCCAGCTATAACACAATACCCAGTGGTCATGAAATTGGCTTTGAAAGTCCGAAAGTCCAGGTGAAGGTTTGTACTGCAGTAACCAGAGGATGTCACTGGAAGTAGGGAGACCTGGGTCCCAAAAGTGTTGCTTTGGGAAAGTCACCTGATGTCTCAGTTTCTTCACTTGGGACAAAGGGGATAACATTTGTTTCCGTGATAATGGTTAATACTAAGCAACATTTTCATGAGGGATATTTAGAGAAGATTTTTCCAAGATAAAAATTATTCTCAACTGCAACCCTCCCCCCCCCCCCCCCCCCACACACACACACACAGGGAAGAAAAGGAAAACCTACTCTGAAATGTAAATAGCAACATAAACATGTCAGCCCAAACAAACCTGCAGAGAACCAATTCCAGCATGTAATAATTACAAGAGTTTTGCCAAAAGGTTGGTGAAGCTTGGACGGCTCAACAAGGGTGAGCCACACAAGTAGTTTACTTGTTGGAAAGGGCTAAACAGGCACTTCCCCCAAACCTGAATAGGATAATTGTTAGCCGCCAGACAGCTCAAGGCATTTTATTGCCTCCTGTTGGCCAGACACCTGAACAGCTGTAGGCTATTCCTCAATCTGACAATGATTCTGTAAATCCTTTGATACCTTACCCTTTGAAGTATATATTTCCACCTTGCCTTGAGACAAATTGTGTTAGAATAAAAGCAGCATCCTGAGTCAAGGAAAGAGTCTACAGTCCCCTTTAGCTGAAGCTCCTCTGACCCCCAATGCCTTTCAAAACTATCTTTTATCTCCGGACTCTTTAATCATCTACATGCAGCCCCTTTGTAAGGCTGGGATAAGAACCCTGGCACAAACTAAAGGCATCATAGCATTGATGAGAACATTTTATTTGTTCTCAGAATTTAGAAATGGCATTCTAAGTTCACAATATAGAAGCAATCAGACCATAAAAAGTTGTTTAAAAAAAGAAAAGAAATTTTGGCCTTCTTTCATAATATTTCTCATGTAGTTATATTGATGATTCTCATTTAGCTTAATGGCTCCTCACTGTAGTATTTTTGCTTAGTTTTAGCATTAAAAAGTTCCTTCAAGTATTTACTTTACACGAAAGGAGTACATTTCCAGTTGTTACCAGGGTTACTAGAACATTCAGTTCCTTTGTGCCAATTAGCAGAAGTGCTCCTGCATGAATGGCTCTCTGGCACCCCCTTCTGGCCTCTGTTGCACAGTGCAGGAGCTGTGGAGTGGCAGGACTAAGAGAGGTCTAGGGGCATCAATTCTGCCTTGTACAGGTTTACGCAGTGAACCATGCATGCGGTGGGGCAGGAGTGTGGCCATCTGTCCTGTGGCTCTCTGACTCCTAGAGAGGACTTACAGGTGAGAGGAGGATATCTAGGTTATTTAGCTTCGCTTTGCTGCCAACAGGAAATGGGAGGAAAAGCCACCCCTTATTTTCTCCCTCCTACTGACTAGCACACTCCTTGACCAAACTTGAGTCAGGGTCCTCTATTCCTCTGTCCTTGGCCTACTGGGTCAGTTTAGGGAGGATCCCTCACCTTTAATACCCGATTAAATTCCTCACCCCTCACCCCCACCCCTCATCCTCTGTAACTTGCCCCTCTGGCCTATCTTCAGCAGAAATCTTACCAAGCTGTCTCACCAGAAACCCCCTTCCCCTGATGTTTCTTCTTAGTTGATTTTTGTTGATTTCAGAGAGGAAAAAAAGGGGGAGAGGGAGATAGAAACATCAGTAATGAGAGAATAATTGATTGGCTGCCTCCTGCACCATCCCAACTGGGGATTGAGCCCGCAACCTGGGCATGTGCCCTGATTGGGAATCAAACCATTGACTTCCTGGTTCATAGGTTGACACTCAACCACTGAGCCATGCCGGCTAGGCTCCTCTTAGTTTTCCATCCACGGCTCCCACCCTGCTCCTTGTCATAAATCCCCACTAGATAAGCTCCTTGTTGAGACTAATTTTATAGGGCAGCCCACTTCTGTGGAATTGCTTTAAAAAAGAAAAAGAAAATATATATAATTTTGAAAAATCAAACCAAACCCATGTAGTTTTCTGTGGCACGTGCATGCATGGAAATCATATGTCGTGTTCCCGTCTCCACCCTGCAGGCATCGTCAAGGATTCTGATGATGTGCACAGTTTGAAGAACCCCACGTTGTTCATTTTTGCAGAAAATGATGCTGTGATTCCTCTTGATCAAGTAAGTTGGGCGTCTTTTCTTTTTGCATATTTAATAACACGATTTGACATTTGGGGGGAAACATACTAAAGTGTTCACTGGTCGCTCCAAATATTTTTCGACATTAAGTTTTCAAAAAACTTTTATTTTTAATATTAAGTTTTAAAGTTGGGTTTCATTGGGGAGGTACCGTGTGATTTCAACCCTCCCCAAGGTGCTCTTGGCATGACCTGGTTACTAAGCCTAGATGAGGGCCTGCCTCCTGTCCCCACATGTATAATCCCGGAGTTGGTAAGGGAAATGCAGATGAAAACAGTAGTTCAAAAGCAGTCATTTAGGAATTAATTGTTATTATTCATAACCAATACTTTATATTAATACATATTTCAAACACCGTATTTTCTGGTGTATAAGACGACCCCTAATATTACAGTTAAAACATAGGTTTAGGCCTATATTCGCTGTATAAGACTACCCTCCACTTCCGAGGCAACATTTAGGAATTAATTGTTATTATTCATAACCAATACTTTATATTAATACATATTTCAAACACCGTATTTTCTGGTGTATAAGACAACCCCTAATTTTACAGTTAAAACATAGGTTTAGGCCTATATTCGCTGTATAAGACTACCCTCCACTTCCGAGGCAACACCAGTTGTTTTTTTAATTAAATTTTTAATAAATGACATTTTTCGAACATACCGTAATATACCGTACATTGATACGATAAATGGAAGGTCTCTTCACAAATGGCAATGCCATGAACTTGACCGAGAAACAAGAAATCCAAAAGAGAACATTAACAATGATGGCATCATCTGTAAAGAAAATTACATGAAGAACTTGCAGAAAACGCTTGTTTGTCACTGGGATGATAAGAGGTTTTTCTAGGCAGAGGAGCATTGTGAGCTTAAAATCCTTCAAAATCCTCATCATGTTCTTCTTCTGACATCATAAGTTCATTAATGACCTCTTGTGGTACATTTGTAAGATATACTCGGCGTATAAGACGACCCCCGATTTTTGGTTGACTTTTTTTCGTTTCAAAAGTCGTCTTACACGCTGGAAAATACGGTAGCTTACACTTGCCGAAACTGGTTTGGGTCAGTGGATAGAGCGTCGGCCTGTGGACTGAAAGGTCCCGGGTTCGATTCCAGTCAAGGGCATGTACTGTGGTTGCGAGCACATCCCCAGTAGGGGGTATGCAAGAGGCAGCTAATTGATGTTTCTCTCTCATCGATGTTTCTAACTCTCTATCCCTCTCTCTTCCTCTCTGTAAAAAATCAATAAAATAAATTCAAATAGCTTACACTTGAATATATTGAAATTTATATTAAATAGATTGAGTGTTGTATATTATATGTACTTGAATAAGTTAAATTATACAATTTAAAATAGTTGATGTTGGGGGAGATAATAGATCAACCGAAGGACTTGTATACATGCATATAGGTACAACCAATGGACACAAAACTCTGGGGAGGGAGGGTAAGAATGGGGGGGGGATGGTAAGATATGTACACAGATAATAATTTAATAAAAACAAAATAAATAAATAAATAAATAAATAAATAAATAAAATAAAATAGTTGATGTTGTATTGTTTTTACATTGCCCCAAATTCCCTCCTTTGACAAAGATAAGGACTGTGTTGGTTATAACATTAAAAGTAAAAAATTCATTATGGCTATGGAACTCAATTTAAAGCACTGATGTTGAATTTCTTTTATGAGATTTTGAGATTAGGAAATATTATTTCAGGGTTAGAATCATTTCATTGTGAAAATTTTTGCATACCAGGTCTCTTCGCTGACCCAGAAGTTGAAAGAACACTGCAAAGTGGAATATCAAATTAAAACATTTTCTGGGCAAACTCATGGGTTTGTGCATCGAAAGAGAGAAGATTGTTCACCTGAAGATAAGCCCTATATTGATGAAGCAAGAAGAAACTTACTCGAATGGCTGAGCAAGTACATTTAGCAGCGGCCAATGCAAACTTTTCTCAAGATAGCGTTTGTCTGGAAATTGGCTTTGAAATATTTAATCATTTTATTCTATTTCCATTTTGTATAAAACAAATCAAGGAATCCTGAAATTCATTACTTCCTCTGAAACACAGATTCAGTAGGAAATGTTAATGTACGAAATAATTTTTTAACATGTACCTAAAATAGCCCTGACTGATTTTGCTCAGTGAGTGTCAGCCTGCAGACTGAAGGGCCCAGGGTTTGTTTCTGGTCAAGGGAACATGCCCAGGTTGTGGGCTTGATCTCCAGTAGGGGGTGTAGGAGGCAGCCAGTCGATGATTCTCTCTCATCATTAATGTTTCTCTCTCCCTTTTCCTTCCTGTCTGAAATCAATAAAAACATATTTTTTTAATGTACCTAAAAAAAAATTTAAAAATGGGTTAGTACCTGAAGAATTTGATTGATAGAGTAATATCCTAAAACTAGTAAAAATCCTGGGGCTATTCTGAACCAGCTGACAGCTCAGGTGTGACCTTTCTGTTCTTCAGTGGAGGACATCTTTTAAAATGACTGATGTTGCAAAGCTATGGAAGCATGAACTATAAACTCAGGTAGTTAAAAGCCCAACTTAGTTAGATGTTTATCTTTGTCTTAATACAAATGAATTTCACCTTCATATATTGCACTATGAGAACCAGAGATTAAAATAGGGGTCCATGGGCCTAATTATATCAAGCTAGTAAACTTTTGAGTTTTTGAATTTGTGGCTTTTTTCTAGAAGCTAATTAAACAATGATGGATTGGAGTTACCATCCAGCTGCCTCCTAGGTATTTTGGGCCCCAGGGGTTGGGGCTATATACAATAAAAAAATCACTCACGAATTCAATCAGAATTAAAATGAAGTCAGGTAAAAAATCCAGCTCCTCAGTAGCCCTGCCACACGGTGGGCAATCTAGCCACGTGTGGCCAGTGGGGACCATATGGGGCAGTGCTCACCTACACTAGTGAAGGCCTTTCACCTCTTGCTGACTTTCTGTTAATCCTGTTATCCCCCATGTGACACCTCTGTGGTTGGTCTTTCCAGTTCCTGCGGAGAATTTGGTTACTTGGCAAACTAACCAAACCTAGACCAGGGAGTTGTCCTCCCACTGGACCTTCTCAGTCTGCAGACACCTCAAGGACTGCTTACTTTCCAGCCCATTCAGGCTTGGGCCCTTGGAAGCTCCCTCCTCTGGGTGGGAAGATGGGAAGGAGGGTTTGCTTGGGTCCTAGATGGAGAGTGGGATACTTTATCCCCATGTGCCAGGGCCAATGTGGGGCCATTCCTTGTCAGCCCTGGGGCTCCTGGAGGGAACCCCGTGGAAGGTGGGGAGCAAGAAGCCCTGCAGCCTCAGGGAGCCACATCTACTCTGTCTCTTTCATTGCTGAGTGGTGCTGCAGAGTCCCAGCTGTGACAGCAGCAGGGGTAACACATGGGCCCCTCGGAAGAGGGAGGGAAAAGGGAGCAGTGAGTGGCTTGACCCCAGCCTGGGGAATGGAGAGGAGGGATTTCAGAGCCATTTGATGGACACAGTGAACTAAGTATCAGGTCAGCTCAGAAGTAACCCGGACAGGGAATAAGGGGAGTATTAACAGCATACCTTGCCTTGACTTAGGGTGGGGACTACACATTCTTCAGAGAAGAGAGAGAGGAGCCAGGGATGCACAAAGACAACTAGAGCTTCCATGAAAATCACAGGAATTTCAAAAAGTAAAAAAAAAAAAAAAAAAAAAAAGGTTGAGGGAGACCATCACTGAGAGCTCCCTCCCTCTCTGGGCCATGTGAGGTGCAGTGAATAGAGCTGTGTACAAACTAGTAAGTAGGCCCTCACCAGACCATGGATCTGCCAGCTCCTTGATCTTGGACTTCCAGCCTCCACAACTGCAAGAAATGTTTATTATGTAAGCCCTCAGCCTGTGCCATTTAGATTAGTAGAGTAACTCATGTTTTTGAGACGTCTGTTATATAGCCAGGTCTGAGTAACCGGTGCGCCAGTCATTCTTTGAAGTACAGCTGGTGTCTCACAAAGGCCTAGGTCAGCTGAGACAACCACCATGCTCGCTGCACGGGTCTCTACACGTGGATCACAGAACACTGGAAAGCCGTGCACTTGAGGGCTGAGAGCTGATGACTCGGTAACCGGTATCGCTTGATCAGGGCCATCCTTCAGTGAAAATGCTTTTGTTAGTGTGTGGGGGTGAAGAACATGACTACTCACTGGTACCATCTGCAACTGGCCACTCATGTAAACATAAAAGCAATTTTACCCTCCATTGCCTTTGTACCGTCAGTGCTACAGTGAACCAGCTAAATAAACTTTGTAAGGAAATACTTTCGCCCTCATGGCCGCTTGAAAGGGTCCAGGACCCCAAGAGGCCTATGGGCCACTTTGAAACCCACGGTTAATACCTATAACACAAACAATAGCACTTAGGACACAACTAACGTTTAACATTTACTATTGCTGTCAGGTTCTCCCCGCTTTTGCCGACCCTGCACATTTCCTGTCTTGGGTACCCTCTTTACTAGTGATTTAGATGGCCCCATCTTGCAAGGGTGCCTGGGAGATCACTTGAAATGGATGAACACTTTTCCGTGTTACAAATAATTTAATAATTTATTTTTTAATTACCGCCATTGCCCCCAATCCTAAACTCTCAGTCCTTTGGTGGAGCTACTTCACAGAGAAAGACACAAAAGGATTAAAGAAATAAAGTCACATGTAACAGACTAGTCTCTCAGCCCTTCCAGAGGCATTGTACTTTTTAAGTTTTTTAAATTGGTTTTAGAGAGAGGGAAGGAGATAGAAAGATGGATGAGAAACATTGATCAGTGGCCCCATGCTAGGGATTGATGCTCAACCATTGAGCCACACCGGCCAACTGGGCAGCATTTGCACTTTTGAGTGGTGGTTAATAACAACCAGACTATTTAACAAACATCAAGTAAGTCCACGTTGGGGTCTTGTTCCTTTAGTTGCTCTTGCCACACATGGCATGAGATGGGAGTCATCTAAAGTACAAGGGGTGTGAGACTTGACAAGTGATTTGGGATTTGAAGATAAAGCAACACTGCCTCGAAGGGGGGCTTTTAATGAAATAAAGTCAACAGCTGTGAAACTACCTCTCTATATGGGTTTCCGATTCATAGGCCTCATACTTTCTTTTCAATCACAAAAAGCACCAGGGACATTTCTGAGGTTCATTTTCAGAAGGGAAGAGCAGTTTAGTGGCTCTCCTCACACCACCATGAACCCCTTCAGGCCAGGCTCTGGTCCAAAGCAAGCTGCTCCCTGCAGGCTGGAATCAGTCCTTGTCAGCCAGTTCATCAGGACTACCAGCCACTTCTCTCAGCAGGGCTATGTCTGATGAGAACTTGCTCTCAGAACAGATGCAACCTGAAGTGGCACCCAGCATACAGTAGCACAAATTATAACAGTGTGACTTCATAATTCATTGTATGATGAAATACTCATTCTAAAATTAGGAAGATATTAGCACTTATTCCAAAATCCACAGTATAGTTGTTCAGCAAAACCATCAATGCAAAAACAAAAAACAACAAAAACAACCAATGCATGAACAGAGAAAACACAGTGACTCAATGGTTAAGACTGGTCAGTGTCCGCCGAAACTGGTTTGGCTCAATGGATAGAGCATCGGCTTGGGGACTGAAGGGTCCCAGGTTCGATTCTGGTCAAGGGCATATACCTTGGTTGCGGACATATCCCCAGTAGGGGGTGTGCAAGAGGTGGCTGATCGATGACTCTCTCATCGATGTTTCTCTCTCCCTTCCTCTCTGTACAAAATCAATAAAATATATTTTAAAAAATCAATAAAATATATTAAAAAAAAAAAAGATTGGTCAGTGTCCAGGTTCACAGAAGGCAGTCCTGATACTTTAGTCAGGAAGAATAATTTTCTAATTTTAGGAAATTTGACAAGCCTTATCAGCAAGCCCCTATCTCTGGTGGTTTTAGCGATTGGGGTTTGTGGCTGGGACTTCAATTCTTGTTGACACAAAGATTTTAATGAAATGAAAGTGAAGTGGGACTTATTGAAAGATACACTCCAAGTAAGGAGTGGGACAGTCGAAAGAAATGGCCTCAAAGTCCTTGGTTATATGCTTTAAATAAGGGGTTATCTAGGTAGAAACTGTCGTTTGCATTCAAGAATTGACGGAAGCCGAAGCAGATTTGGCTCAGTGGATAGAACGTTGGTCTGCAGACTGAAGGGTCCCAGGTTCGGTTCCGGTCAAGGGCATGTGCCTTGGTTGCGGGCATATCCCCAGTAGGGAGTGTGCAGGAGGCAGCTGATTTGATATTTTTCTCTCGTCAATGTTTCTGACTATCCCTCTCCCTCTCTGTAAAAAAAAAAAAATCAATAAAATATCTTATAAAAAAAATTGACGGAAAAAGGTTATTTCTTCGGTGCATGCCCCTACCCATAATGCATATAAAAAAAACCCACGGGTGTGTGTGTATGTAAAAAGTGCAATACAATTTTACTATTAGTCCAGAACCCTAGTAAGGTCCAACTGAGGACATGTCACTTTCCTCTGAGCTTGTGCCAGGAATCAGCTGGTTCAGAACCTGCCCACTGGTGGTCTGCTGGCTGCTAGGCTGCCCAGAGGCAGTGAACCTTGTTCAGGACCCCAGGGCAGGTCCCACCCTATCCGCTCATGTCTAACTTCCTGCCTAACAGTAGCACATAAGTGAACTTTATTATGATTCTCTGTAAGAAACATTCTTTTAGAAAACACAGAAACATACTCAAGCAAAATAGCCTCCTGGCTCTACAATTTACAGGCCACGAGATGTTTAGCAAGTGATCGAATCCCACCTTAGGGTGTGAATAAGAAATGCATCTCCTTCACAGGATGAGAACTGAGCTGAACTCATCTTCAGAACGGGCTACTGGGTGGCCCACGGTAATGGCAGCCACTGCTGCAGCGGCCAGTGTATCTCAGTACAGAATTAAGCCAAGGTCAATGTACCCATTCATGGCAATTGCCAACGCACCTCCTCCCACTGGATCCATTTCTCTTATTTTCTAGAATTCACTCTGCCCTCCACTTGTTCTGCCCTGATAACCTCAAATGGGTTTTCACTCGCTGTTCTAGGTATCTGCAGGTGCTGTAGGAGTCTGAGCCCAGGTGGCTTCTCTCTACACAAAATGGTTTGCATTCAGGGAGGTCCAGCACAACAACAACAACAAAAAAACACATACAAAACACACACACACAAACCAGTAGGGATTAAGTGGAGATTAAACTTTTAATGCTGGTCTCATTAGCACTATAATATCTTAGGTCAGTGGTTGGCAAACTCATTAGTCAACAGAGCCGACTATCAACAGTACGACTGAAATTTCTTTTGAGAGCCAAATTTTTTAAACTATATAGGTAAGTACATTGTTACTAACTTAATTAGGGTACTCATAAGCTGGCCTTTGCTAAAAACTCAAGGGGCCAAAGAGCCAAAGTTTGCTGACCACTATTCTAGGTTATGTCAATGTAACCTAATAGCACTTAAGACAGCCCAGAATTTTGTGGTAGAAACACCCATCTATGACAGATCTCTAGAATCAAAAGATCCACCCATTGAGGTAGGTGGAGCATTTAAATATACTTGAGGATCAAGCCCATATTCCTCTCAATGTTAAATCTTGAGAACAATCTTAATGTTTAAGCTGTTAAATTAGTTCCTAGAGCTTATTAA